ACAGTGAAAAGTTTTCGGAACTTCAGTGTTCAAAAAAGTATACAAAAGCTAGACGTTAAGAACGTATCCAATGAGCGAGCATCGGATTGCGAAGCAATCCGATATGAACTGCGAAAGCAGTTCCAGGGATTGGCGAGCGCCAGCGAGCAGGGGGCGAAGCCTCCTAATTAGATAATAAGAAGAATATAAAAATACTTTAAGAATGACTGCTGGTGAAAATAAATCTAAAAAAATTATCAAACAGCAGCCGTCGCCATAGCAAAGCATGGTCAAATGCTATAGCACTGCTTACTATTACTCTTGTATGCAGTTGAAAAGTGTGATGACGTCCAAAGAAAGTGCGCACGCCATATACCTAAAAACAAGACCCATTTTGACAATGGGTAATCATTTAATCTTTTCTAAGTTATTAAAATTTAAAACTATTCTGCATAAAAAATTAATTCAAATTTTATTTCACTTAATATGAAAATAAATCTCCCAAAATGATTTTGAAATATACTTTAAAATTAAAATATGGTTAAGGAACAAAATTATTTTGTATTTACAACTCTTCATTTTAATAAGTAATATTAGGCATTCATAACTCATTCACCTAACACCTTTTTTACTGAACTAAAAAAAAAGCATAAATATTCAGAACTTTAAAATTTCTTCAAGTGTTAATGTTTCAGTGGGTACCATAGAAATTTAACAATATTGTAAAAATACGTTATTCATAAGCCCTCATTTTCATTAAGCTACATTAGGAAACAATTTATTATACATATCTTTGTACTCGAATAGTTATTTACTATCCAAAATAGTCGGATTTAATTAAGAAAATTCAAACTTAAGCAAGAACGTAATGATTAAGCACAGCACAGCGATTATTAACGAACGGCATGTGGACATGGGTGGTGACGTGAGTTTGCGAAATATCACGAGACTCCCCGCAGATGAAAACGAAAGGAAGCTTTTTTTTTTTTTGATTAAAAATAGCTTAATAATTATTATTCCTAATAAAGTAGTATTTTATTTTTTAGGGAGGGGATGAGGGATTTTGAATGCATTAGGATTTTTAAAAAAAAAATCTATTGTAATTGTTCATAATTAAGAAGTGCCACTATTTCAACATTCAATTTCCACTATTTTTCCAAGATTTTTGGAATGATATTCGCGAAATTTTTATGAAGATCTGTTTTGTGTCGCATCCGTTTTAAACTCTGTGTATTTTAGTCTATTTTATGATCGTTGTTTGAACAGCCGAGGAAATTTTTGGGCTTATGACTACTAATGTTCAACTCTGCAGCATTGTAATTTTGAACCCAATCCAGAAGACAAGGAAACTCCTGGATCAAATATTTTGAAAAATTTTGCCTTTGTAAAGGACTTCTTTGAGGGAACTAACTCGCATTTGCGTTACACGGAAAGGAAGACCACGAGAACCTCCCACGGTTAGCCTAACGGCAAAGGGACTCTGACCCACTATCCGTCTACCACTGAGGATATTTCAGGTCAGCTCTGTGATCGGTGCAAGTCGGATGCGGGATTCATATCCACCAGTAGACTCCTAAAGGGCGTCAGGACTTCTTAAAAAATTTGTACAACTTAAAGAATAAAACTATTTAAATTATCGATTGTACCTTAAAATTAAATTTTTTTTGTATCTAAAAACTAATACACTTTAAACTCTAGCCACCTAAAATGTTATTAAACAATTTTTAAATTGAAATTCTTCTCTAAGAAAAGAATATCTAACCAATTGAGCTATAATGAAGACAATACTCTGCATGCTGTTAAGCATAAAAAAATGTTAACATAATGCTCGATGATTTTTTTTTTTCATTTGCGAAACTCAGTTTTTTTTTCTTTGAATTTTTTACAATATATTTTGGTATTTTTTCATTCATTATGAATATGTTACAATAGTTTGAATAATAGTAGATATAACTATTAGATATTGCATAATGATATGTATAAGAGAGAGTATTAGATATAATATAATAATATGTAAAAGAGAGAGTATTAGATATAATTTAAAAATAGATATAGAATAAATATTATATAAATAATAATGAATATAGAATAAATATAAATAATAATATAAATACGAAAATAATATGTCTTTTAAAGAATTTTCACTAATTAAAAGTTTTAAACGCCTAAGCTTATTGACTATATCTTCATGTCAAATTTCAGTGAAAACGTTACTTTGTCATTCCGATCTACTTTTTATTTATTAGGAAAAATGTCTATAGTTAAATACTTGTCAACATATAAGGATAAAATTAAACGTGTTTGCGTAGTTTCAATAGACGCTACATAAAAATGAAACTGTGCTAACTTATTAATTTGAAACAAGCAAAACATTTTATGACTGTGAACATTTTTTTCTTCTCATTACCCTACAGCTCATTCAAACTGCATAAAATTTCAAGATGTTGAATAAAGACCAATTTTTTCTGCAAAATATTGCAGGTACAATTAGATTTCAAGTTCAGCGAATAGATCTCAGATTTACCTTAAGTTTAACAAATTTCAGATTTAAGAATTCTGCCGGGATTAATCGGGTTGATAGGGAGTTAGGGCCCATGTCCAAATGGTCGTGAGCTCGTTCCCCGCCGGCCTTAGACTCTCCGCGTAGCAAAGAGTGACTTGTGCACGTTAAATCTGTTGGGCCACAAAGTCTTCCACATCCCCGTAACAAATCATGCCTCTTGGGGTACTGAATTAGAGATGTATCGTTCTCTGGTTCAGGTCAAAGTTATGATCCGTGGATGAATGAATGGGTTCGCCCTATAAATGAGCAGTGACGTGTGTGTGGCTGAAGTCGTATTCCTGACCAAAGATGGCGCCACTGAAAAATAAGAAACGCAACCTTTGCCGTAAATTCGCTTGGTTTCACCAAGCAGACTTGCTTGTTTTAGCAAGTTGCATTAGACACAACAACATTTAAGAATTCTTTAGCATTCACGTTATGTTTAAGGATCCGGTGAGATTATTATGAAATGAAAACTATTTCGATTCGATTTTCCTCTAAACATAGAGTAAACCTAAAATATCCGGTATACTCTTTGATTTATTTAACAACTTTTTGTCCAAAAAAAAATAACGAAATTTTATTTCTTAAAGGGATTTAAGGTATTTAAGGTGTAGGAGTAAGAAAGTGAAAATGATGATAAAGTAATTTAAAATGTCTATGAGTAAAAAAAAACTACTGTAACTTATAAATTAAAAATCTTAAAAAGAACTTCCAATTATCATTATAGGTTTTGGTTTTGTCTGACATCAAAAAAGTAATAAGTGTTCATTGCATAAATTTTTTTAGTTAAGTTATTATTAAATTTTGTATTGAGATAAATCTAGAAAACCTTTTTTACAATGCGTTTCTCCTTACTTTGAAATAAATGTAAATCAGTAAAAAAATGAAGATTATAATTGTGTTATTTGTACAGTGAAAGAGAAAAAATTAGTACTCTAAATTCGCACACTTTTGAAGTTATTAAAATTAAGAACGTTGTTTTGAATTTTGTTTACATTACAATAAAAAAATATAGTTTGCTTTACAATTTAAAAAAATAGAATTTAACATACATTTNGTAACTCTTTCGAAAGTACATAAAAATGGTTGCCAGCAGGGGCGTGCATGTAGATTTATTAAATACACCTTGTGCGCTACCTAGGAACCAAATCTAGAACCCGACACTCGAAATTTTTGCTCTGTTACAATAGTACCCTGTTACAATTGACCCCACTCTCCCCTACTCTAAATTCGCACACTTTTGAAGTTATTAAAATTAAGAACGTTGTTTTGAATTTTGTTTACATTACAATAAAAAAATATAGTTTGCTTTACAATTTAAAAAAATAGAATTTAACATACATTTAAAAAAAAATAGTATTTTTTTTTATAGAAAAATACTGTTTAGGTTTTAGACGCTGTAATATTTAGGTGAAAAATACATGCTCAACCATTAAATTCATAAAAAAAAAAGTTTTTTCTGTTTAACAGTTGAATGATTTACAATACTTTGGTTGAAAGAGCACTTCATGTTAGTTTGCTTGTTTATTGTTCGTTTGATGGTTGTAAACAACCATCACTTAGCACCTAATCGGCTTGAAGAGCTTCTAAATCATCGATACTTAACTGTAAAGACAGCTGCGTTAATTTTAGATTTTTAAATTTTTTACTTTACATTTGATTTATTGAAATTGCTAATGGCATTTACAGTTATAAATATCTTCGTTAAATGCAGGGTATTTGTAAAGTGATTAAATAAAATGACGGCACATTAAATGAAACCAAGGTAAGTACTCGTTAACGTTATAAATATTATTAGTACACGTTTACATGGTCGTGACACAGTCGTTTACATGGATTTTTCGAATGTCTTAACCTTTTGAACCTAAAACATGTCTCTGATAGGGGGGGGGGAATAGAGAATATTTACACAGTAAGAAATTTATACTATTTGTTAATAAGCACCTATGATTTCATTTTACTAGACTGATTTGAACGATTTCGATCTATTTTTTATCGCTTAAATATTAAGTCACGCCCTCTAATGAGTATACTTTTTTATATTAATTTTTAATTATGATTCTAAATTGATATAATAAGGGTGTATTGATACTTATAATTTACATGTATTTAAAGATTCTTGATTCCATATATTGATTTTAATAAAAAATTCCAACAATGTACACTTTTCACTTAGAAGTCATTTTACTGTTTTTCTAGCAATGAATTACAATTATACAATTTTAGTAACATAAAACTTAAACGAAATTTTATTGTTCAAAACATTTAACTACTTCTTGATAATCAAATTTCAATTGTTACTTCACGAACAATAAGCCATATTCTTTATTAAAACACTATATAAACCCTTTCTAATGCATTGTTGGCCATTCTAACTTGTACTTTCAAGATTGAATGCGCTTATTAGAGTGTTCTTGCTAAACTGCAAATTGATTTTGGGAATTAAATTCCTGTGTATTGATAAAAAGATTGAGAAATGGGAAAATTCGCAGATATCACGCAGAGTGATGATGATGATCAAGATGAACCCATCCCCCCGGATTTATCCGGAGAATACTACCAGCACAGAAGAGATGCCATGAGAATCCTAGAAGCCAATCAGTTTGTATGCATCGACAAGCTTGGATCTGGCGCTTTTGGCGATGTGTACAAAATGATTGGCTTCTCCGGTCGAGAAGTTGCCGTTAAAGTTGTCGCCCTGGAAGTAGCAAAACCAAATGAAACCGAAATTTGGCCCAAATTATCTCGCTCAAACATTATCCCCCTCCTCGAATACTTTAGTTTCAATAACCCAGATGTAGCAATTTTTGTAATGCCCATGCACCGGGACACTTTGCTACACGCAGTCCTAGACAGGCACTTTTTGAGTCAGTCAAGTGCCCTAGACTGCATAAAATCAAGGCTTTATGACACTCTCTGTGGTCTGACATATTTGCACTCTAATGAGGCCTGTCACTTAGATCTAAAAGCAGACAATGTCTTGATCTCGCATGATCACAAAGCTGTTATCTGTGATTTCTCTTTTCTTGCTCCAACAACGAAAGCAATACCAAGGTGAGCAATTAAAGATTTGTTTAATATTTCTCAAACTGTATACCTAGGAGTATTTTTATTTTGAGATAATCAATATTCAAATTTGTTTTTTATTTGCATGGTTTTAAAATTTAACTGTCATTATTTACTTATTATCTATTTGACATATTTAAACTGAAAACAAAATGTTAAGTTTTTGTTCAAGAATCCTCGAACATAGTTTTAGATAGGTCGGTACTTTATTTACGTCACACTAGAGCTGCACAAAGGACTATTGCTGACGGTCTGGGAAACATTCCTAAGGATGAGCCGAAGACATGGCATCGCAATTTCGATCCTCTGCAGAAGGGACGGCTCCCCTTCTTTAAAGCAAACTTCTAATATGAAAGACAAGTATTTTCATTAAATTGCCCTGCGTTGAAATGAGGTTTTTTTAAATATAATATTTAATTTTGTGACAATAAAACTATTGAAATGAACCTAAAATTTAATGTCGGTACCTCTGAATTGCTAATGCACAGCTCTTTAAAACTGCATTGGTGTATTTGTCACTTTAAAGCTGATTTAAGTTCTTTGATTTATATCTATCTTATAAGATGATTATTAACCCGGGTTACTTATGACTCGAGGTGAGAGTTATTGAATTAAATTTAAGAAAGATTTATTTCTGTTTTACAGGTCTGAACTTGGCTTGCCACCAGTCTATAGACCACCAGAAGCTTGCCCATCCCTCGGGAGTGGAGCAGCGATTGAGGGCAAAGGATATGACTTGTGGGCGTTTGGAATGATGGTTCTGGAGATATTTACCAACCAAGCCCTTGGAGGAACATCATCCAATGCCGGAAACTGGGAAAGAGATATTTATCCTGTCCTATTCAACATCCTTCAGGTAGATATATATTTATTAATATTTTTATTCGAGTCGTGGTGGCTCAGGAGATAGAGCGTTCACCTTCCAATGAGGAGAACCGGATTCGAATCCCCAGAGATGGATGGTAGGTTCGAATTCCGCACCCAGATCATAGTACTCACGTAAAATATCCTCAGTGGAAGACGGATCAAGGGTTAAAGACCCCTTACCGTCAGGCTAACCGTTTGAGGTTTTCCTCTCCATATAACACAAATACAAAGTTCCATCAAAAAGCCTTCCATGAAGGTAAATTTCTCCCACTACTCTTGCCTTCTGGGTAGGGTTCAAAATTACAAGGCTACAGAGTTAAGAAATAGTAGTCCTTAACCTGAAAATTGGGTCACCAACGATTATAAAATATTTTTATTCAATATTCTTAATAGAATATAAAATTTATTTAGTTGAATGATTACTTCTGATAATCCAAGTTACAAGTTATTCTGTTCAGTAACAAAAAATTATCACAATACAGGCCTAAATATAAAGCCTCAAAGCATATTTAATGTATTTTGATTAAAATATAGTTGCGAAAACTTTTTATAGGAGAAAAAAGAAAATTAAAAAAAATTATAACTATATTTTTTATAGAAAAATAATGTTTAGAGCTTTTTATATAAAATATTTGTTTGCACAAAAAATAATAAATTAATTAATTTTTAATACATTTTTTCTTTAGAGGAGGGATTCAATGTGAAACAATGTCAAGCCATGTGTTCTCTGTTTAGCTAAAAGCATCTATTACTTACTAAAATGTAATAAAAATTTTATACTTTAATATTTACAGTAATATTTATTTTATTAGAATGATTCAGTGATTTTACGGTAATTATTACTGTAAAAATTACGGCATATTGGTTTCTTTGTACCGGTAGAAATGAATTTTATGATAAAAAGTACCGCACACCCCGAGTCCGGTACTTTTTACAATGAAGATCTGAATTTTTTTTTAAAGTGTAGATCTTTTAAAAATCTTCGTAACTCGTTTTCTAAAGCTTCTCTTAAGGCTTGTCATTGTTCAAAGATATTCAAATGTTCGCAGGGTTGTTCAAAAAAATTTCAATTGTATAAAGGTAGTTAACAAATGTTGTTTTAAGCTTTAAAAAAATATTCAAGATTACAAATTAATTGCAGTATTCTTTTAGAGTGAATCTTTTAAGAGTTCCATTTGTGGAATGTTTTCTGAGACGGGCGTTTCTGACGGGCAAGTCAAGCTTGCTTTGAATTTCATCCATACTTTTCTGATGCCCGATCGGAGAGAGAGATGGAATGCCACAAAGGCATCTGACCACTGCTTCTTTAAGAGTGGCCGGCAAATAGGAGCAGGGCCACATACGAAGTGGATACATTTTGTTAACCCTAACATAGAAGAGCACCAAATGATTAGCTTGAATAGAAATCAGGGTGTGAAGCGTGAAGCTGAAATGAGTTTAAAACCTCCTAGTGCTAAGAGAGCCAACATCGAATCTGAAGAGACAACGGAAAAAATCCAACAAAAAGAATGCGAGAAGTGCAAGTATATTAAGGTGTTGGTAGAAAAAATTGAGAATTTAAAAAAGGAAGTTGTTGTGTTAGAACAGAAAAATGCTTGTTCAGAGCAGAAGGTTGGGGAATTAAAGAAGTTTCTAGAAATCGACGAGTTTGAGAAACGGAAAGCACCTGTTCCGAGAAAGATTATGATTTCTACAAGTACCCAAACTACAAACAGCCTGGAAACAACAGTCGTTGAGAATGATTTACCCGAGCACATCACCAGCGATAACATTACGATTCAAAACGACACATTTGTGAGTTGGGTACGAAAGAAATTAAATGCCTGCAAAAACCGAATTCTTCGTTTTAGTTTTAAATAATTTCAAATTGAAATAAAAACATACAACCGAACTTAAACGAAGCATACTTGAAAATAGTTAGATTTTTAGGCACCAGACTCTCAATCATCAAACAGAAGTGTGCAGCACTTAAACTATTTTAAAGAGAATCTGCATATATCAACTATAAGAAACAGTTAAGAACCCGTTGGAGATTAAAAGGTGTGAAGTAAAGCATTTTAAACATGCACATGTGAATACAATGAGAATGTTGCAGCAGCATGCTAACAGCTGTGGCAGATGAATTCTGTTTAAGAACGAAAAAAGTATTAACACTGAAAAATCTTTTTTAACTGTCAGAGAGAAACACATATGGAAAGAACGCACATAGAGCTAAGCAGAAGTAAAATGCTTCCAGTCTGGTTTTTGTAATGATTACGTGTTATTTGAACTTAAGATAACAAAGAAAAATATATTCGAACGTATAATGAAACATTCGGATCATAAATCTGCTCAATGGCGAAGTCTTTTCCATCTGGCCCTGCTCCTTCTCATAAAGCGAATATGATTCAATGGTGGTTGATGAAGAAGAAACCAGAGTTTATTAAAAACGAAATATTGGTCGTAAGAGCAATCAATTTCAATACCATTTAATTGCAAATTGTTGTTTGAGGAAAAATGTTAAAAAAATTACATTCGAATATGAAAAGTCTTAAACATTCTTCAAGCAACGCAGTTGCGGAAATTCCTACAGATGTGCGTGCCTTAGCAGGCGATAGGTCAAAGATTTAAATCATATATGCAGATAGAATACAGTGTGCAATGAGTTAAATTTTAAAGAAAGAAAAACGATGGAAAATCTCCAGATTTTATGCAAGTTCTGATTAGTAGTATTTCTAATGTGGTGCTTGAAATTTACGAAGGCGGTTTTCAGTATTAGAAGGAAACTTTAAGCACTCATTTAGTCCGTGTATAAGCCTCAAGAAGCTGATTACAATTTTGTGGGCAAAAGATGGACATCTTATAAGAAAGAATGGCACTTCTCGATAAATGATTAGCCAAATAGACATCCTCACACAGACATCGTTCGCATGGAAATGACAGGTAATAAATATTCGATAATTATAAATGTTTAATTAATTTAATAAATAAATTTTTTGAAATTTAAAGAAAAAAACTTTATATATTTTTTTACAGATATTTTTCGTAGAATGAAAATAAAACAAAGAATCCAGACTATAAAATTTATTCAGTCTCTTAAGAAAATCTTATTTGTGAAAGATGGACCAATTTATAGGAAGTAGAGATAGTCTCGGTAAATGATGAGACATCCTTACTTAAACATTAGCATAACAAATGACAGGTATTAAACACTTCTTACATTTCAAATTCATTTATTTATTAAGTCTTTGACATTACAACATATGTATTCGTAGGATGAAAAGAGAAACTGTAGAAAAGACTATAAATAGTATCTGAAAAATGTGTTATGTACAACAGACGGACATCCTTATAAGAATCATGGCAATGTCTCGATAAAAGCTGGTACAAAAAACATCGTTATAGGAAGCATGGCACTAGCAATAAAGCGGCACATACTGTAGGTATTAAACACTCGTATTTTGAAACTGCTTAGTTTGTTTCATTCATATATTTATTTATTTATTCGTAATTACAAATAAAAAATATTTTTCAGATATTTTTGAAGAATGACAACAACAACAAAAAAATGAAAAATCTGCAGAAAGAAGAACTATGAAAAAAAAAATGAAGTCTTGATCATTGTTTTCAGAACGAAAGTTATTTCAATTGTTCCAATGATGATAATCCGAGTATAGAAGAATAATTTACCATTTTGCATTATTATTTACGCGACTATTGAAAATATGTTGATACGAAAGTTTATATTTTGAGTCTACATTTTGAAATTCATCGATACATTAAATAGCTTACATTTTTCGATTATTTGTCATTTCTCAATCTATTCTACTTTAATTTCACGAAGTAATTTGAAACTTATAAAACTGGCGTCTGTTATATTTAAGAAAACTATAAAATCAATGATCGGATAGCAAAATAACGCTTAAAAATATGTCAGCTGAACTATTAAATGAACCTTTCCTTTTTAAATAGCAATGTCAGATACCCAGTGATAACTGAATCTATTACCCAGCCGGTTCCGGGTCTGAAGTTAAAATTTGATTTATTTCCCGAATTCGTTATTTATAAAAATTGAATTTATTATTACAGCATTCATGTAAAACAATTCAAAAATCATACAAATTTAAATTAACAAATGTCCTATCGGAAGTGGTATAATAGTTTATTTTTAAATTTACCCAATAATGTAAACTGTAATAAAACTGACTCTTAAATGTTTCGATATTTCTGGTGGAAAATTTATTGTGTAGGAAATGTTAATCAATGTAGCGGATTTTCCAATTTTTATTATTAAAATTCTTCTGTATTTTTTATCCCACTCTAGAAAACAAAGCAACTTTTTAATTAAACATTAGGCTTAACTCGCCTTTGTGGTGAGAAATGTTTTTAGTAAAATTATTAGCGCCATATGGAGATGAAAACCGCAAAATCTTCACGGTTTGCCCGGCTAATTCGGCTGATTGAAATTTGATTTAACTGTACTAAAAAGTAAGAAACACGTTATCCGAAGTAAATACAATGGATTCGTACCAGAGACCTTTCTGAAATGAGGTCAACTCCCTAACTACCATGGATCCAGTCGGTCGTTGAAATTTTATGATTCCGGTTATTCGGTACCGAGTGAATAAAGCTAAAAACTGGGTTTGGGTATCCGGTATCGAGTAAATAGAACTAAAAACTGGGTTCGGGTATCCGGTATCGAGTAAATAGAACTAAAAACTGGGTTCGGGTATCCGGTACCGAGTGAATAGAACTAAAAACTGGGTTCCGGTATCCGGTACCGAGTAAATAGAGCTAAAAACTGGATTCGGGTATCCGGTACCGAGTAAATAGAGCTAAAAACTGGGTTCGGGTATCCAGTACTGAGTGAATAGAACTAAAAACTGGGTTCGGGTATCCGGTACCGAGTAAATAGAGCTAAAAACTAGGTTCGGGTATCCGGTACCGAGTGAAAAGAACTAAAAACTGGGTTCGGGTATCCGGTACCGAGTAAATAGAGCTAAAAACTGGTTTCGGGTATCCGGTACAAAATACGGAAAATTGCTTACCTAGCCAGAGTAATAACTTTCTAACGATGATGGTGTTATTATCAGGTACCCGGTACATGCTTCGTTTAAAATAATTTGATATTACACAGATATAATGTTGTCAGGTACTTATTAAAATTGTCAAGTGCAACGTTAATTTATCTTGTATTCACATTTAATCCAAGAATAATAATGTTGGATAAGACAAAATCAGAAATTCTTCATAGCTTTGAAAGTAAATCAATACAAATTCTAGGCGACTTCCGACCCATTTCGACTTTTCTTTCTCAGAATATAATAACTCAAATAATCTTATTGTAATATAATATTTAAATAATCTTCCTTCTATACTTTTGATTGGAACATTTATAAGAATGCTATATAATTCTGACCTAAGTTCAGGCGACGTGGAAGGGACTGAGCTGGTTACCCCTCCCTTCAAATTGTCACCCCATGACAAACGAGAGAACTTTCAACCACGGCTAATTTAACGTGTACCTTGCAGGATATTTACACTTTCTGTTTAGTCGACTGTTAGGATCGAACTTACAGCTTATAGATCTTTACCAACTGTGTGAGCGATGCCTTAACCAATTGTCCCCCTCCGCAACAGTGAGCTACAGCAGATCTCACTTCTGATCTCTAAACAACTCCATTCTTCTCCGTGTTAACGTAAAGCTGGGTTGTCTTTCTCATTTTTTTTCTCCCTTGGTTACTGCGGTTTTCCTAGTTTTACTTCTCACCCTCTATTTTTCGTTGCCTTAACTATTTTAGTAACTCGTCAGTTTTAAATTTCAGATAATTCTTTACGGAAAAATGGCATTTAAAGTTTAAAATTGTAATTTTGCCACGATTGTAAGGCAAATAAACTGTCACTTTTTTTAAACCTTGATGAAAGAGTTCCTAAAAAGGCTTATTATCCTCTACAGATGAATAAGGTTCCACTGAGTCGAAACAAGTAGATAAAGCCCATGAAGGGAATAAAAAAAATTGGAAACGTTTTATAAAACAAAAAAAAACTGATTATATAAAAATAGATGAAATACTTGTATTATATCATGTATCATAAGTGTAATATTATAAAAAATGAAAATCACAAATAGTACTAATTTATAAATGAAAATAACAAATTATTAGTACTAGTAAAGTACTTTTCATCATACTATGCGACACAAAAGGAATTTTATGTAACACTGATTGAAAATTAAATAAATAGATTTTTCTTCCGAGAAATTTCGATTCCTTTAAAGAATAGAAAAAAAAATTAAGATGCTCTATATAAGCAAATGTAGAAAATGAAAATAATAAATT